TCCAATATTGTTGATTGCACTCGGAAGTTGGCCATTGGAAAAAAAATATTGGACAATAAGTATACAATAAATTGTTCCCTAACAATCTCGATGGGCGTTGACGAATCCAATTTCAGAATATCATGCCTTATGTCATTTGCTGTTTTACCAGCAATTGTACTAGTCCCAGGTTCAAATTTAATACATCTGTTTGGTAAGTCAATAATCAACGCTATTTCATCAGAAGTGAAAGTTAAAGTCCGGCTATTAATAACAAAACTTTCAGATTCGTTATCCCACGTGGACAATAACATATAAACAATAAGAACATTTTGTGGGAACCGAGGTAGTAATAGGAACTGATTAATTTGTAACTCACTTAGGCTACTAACAAACTGATCCCCAAATTTCTCAACCAATTCATTACAAACTTCTCTAAATCCTGAAGTCCGACATCTGAAATGAATCTTGGGGGTATATCCCTGCATAATAAAGTGTAACAAACACTAAGAAAATAACAGTTTTATAGAGTTATTCCGTGAAAAACTACGTGAAATAAATAAGTGTAACAAATACTAAGAAAATACCGAGTTTTCTTAGTACCGAGTACCAAGTTGTACCGAGTACCTAGTAACACGGTAAAACAGAACCCTAAACCCTAAATACACGTCGTTTAGGATTCTGTTCGATTTACTAAGGCAAACCTAACATGTCTACGAAATGTGTACCGAGTTTTATCAACCAGTAACGACGTTTACCGAGTTTAATCATCAAATACCGAGAAAATCGAACAAAACCTAGTACCAAATACCGATTAGTACCGAGTTTTAGAATGCGTACCGAGTTTTAAATACAAGCAGAAATGTTTACCATATCCCTAAAACTCGGTACTGTTAGATTGCTAACGATATAAACAATATCAAAACAATGATATTTTTTCGGTAAATCGTTTCGAACCTCAGGCATTATATCAGCGACGATTTTTGAATGGAGAATACGAAGAACTACGAGTTGAAATGCTGGAGAACTCCGAAGGATTTGCTGGAAATCTAAAAAACAAAGTAAACAGTAACAGGGATTCGAATCTCCGTAAAAAGGTGAAGCGTCGCACTTCGAAGTGTTTGTGATGTTTTCCATTTAAAATTTTAACACGTGCGATAACCCAAAATACAGCGGGTCGGGTCGGCGACTTTTCTTCATGCGACGTGGCGTCAAAACATTGGTGACCGAACGTAGAGGAGCGTACGTTCACTGGACTAAATAATTGTTCCTCTCCCTCCCCTCCCTGCCATATGCTTATTTTACTTAATCACTGCCTTTTTGACCATACAGTTCGTTTCTATGAAGAGAATTAACAATATGCTGCTGAGTTTATTTTTGTAATGCAATTACATGCCAATTGGAGGGAACTATAGGAGCGGGATCTTATTTGTATCTTATATGACCTCTCTAAACCATCTGCTACTGAGTCAGTGTCTTATTCATGATACAATTTGTTTATCTGAAAAGAATTAACATTATGCGACAGCGTTTGTTTTTGTAGTACAATTACATGCCTGTGGGAGGGAACCATATTTTATTTTTTAATTGTGTCCTGTTAAAAGTCAAATTCTCATTTAAATCTAATAAAGATATATCATTTTTAATATTTTCTAACCAAGTCTTTTTAGGTTTACCTCTGTTAAGAAAGGTAGAGGTAGACCTAAAAAAACTTGATTAGAAAATATTAGAAATGATCTATCTTTATTAAATTTGACTTTTAACATGACACAATGGCAAAAAAGGATTCATGTAGCCGACCTCACGTAGTGGGACAAAAGCTTGATGTTGTTGTTATTGTTGTTGATATCTTTCCTTATCAGTTCCTGATTGATTTAACTCTGATTGCTTTCTCTTAATGTTCTTATGATTATTCATTATCAAATATCTGTGTGACAAAATGTAGAACATTGCCTTTTAGGATTCTTTTCTATCAAATTGTTGATTGAGCCTCAGAAGAGCTCAGAATTGGTTTGATGACGTCCTAGAATTTAGCTAACATGAAAAGACCTTCAGAGACTTGGGGCCTCCACTCAGGCTCAACACAATCAGCGGAGTCTGCCTTGGATATGGAAAGGAGTGTATGCGGTAATCAGAACCCATCTTCTTGCATTGTTTCAACACTCCAGCCTTATGCATCAGGAGCTCAACATTCTGAAAGTAATGCTGCATACTTCTCTTGGCCTACCTCAACTCTAATGCATGATTCCGCCGAAGGCCGAGCTAATTATTTTGGGAACCTTCAGAAAGGGGTCTTGCCAGGTAATCTCGGTCGCCTGCCAAAGGGGCAGCAAGCGACAACTTTGCTTGATTTGATGACTATAAGAGCATTTCACAGCAAAATCTTGCGGCGGTATAGTCTTGGGACTGCAATCGGTTTTCGCATTAGACAAGGAAAGCTGACCGAAACACCGGCAATTCTTGTTTTTGTTGCTCGGAAAGTTCACCGGAAATGGCTCAAGCAGATTCAATGTTTGCCAACTGCCCTTGAGGTAGTGAATTAGTATTTGTTTGAACTATTTCTTCATATTTTTTATCTGCTGTGCTTTGGTAATAACTTGATTGCAATAGTGAGTAATTTGAATGCTGACACATGTTCAACAGTATCTTTTCAATACTAACGTCTTTATTCTTTATGATAATTAATCATTGTCATTTACCTTTTGTGTAGGGACCAGGTGGTGTGTGGTGTGATGTGGATGTTGTAGAGTTTTCATATTATGGTGCGCCTGCACACACTCCAAAAGAACAGTTGTACACTGAGCTTGTGGATGGGCTGCGTGGAAGTTATCCTTGTATAGGTTCAGGTTCTCAGGTATCTGTGGTGTTCTTATCCAGGTTCTTTTTTCCAAGGCTTATTTAGTTGAGGTGTGCCTCAACTTTAAGGTTATTTCTAGGTAGTCTGCAGTTTCCGAACCCTACTATTATGTATAGGTTACAGTTCGGTTTATAATCAGCAGGTACTCTCCTAGAGGGGCCCTCCAGTGGTCCTATTATTTCTAAATATTAGGATCATATTATTCAATTATTTCATTGATCTGTTAGGTTTATATTTTTCTCTTAATAGTTTTTCATCATCAGTATAACAGAATCTGGAGTATCATGTGATGTAGAATGAAAATCGCTTTGCTAGGGAAGATGGCCAAACTCCAAGTGACTCACAAAATTTGAAAAGCCCCTTCAAAAAATCTGAAATTTTATGGTGTTGTAGTGGAAACAGTCCAGCGAAAACTGCTGGACAGCAGTTTTATTTTTCCAAACAGCAGTTATTAGGCTTAGGATGACTGGAGACGTGAGAGCAAGGGTTGGAATTCCTTGATGGCAGTCTTAGAAAACAGCATATTCCATGTGGGAAGAGTTTGGGAAGGGTTTAGAGTAGAAAACCAATGTAAAGGTGTTAAAAAAAATTCGGCCAGCAGGGGAATACGGGACAGAAGTTGGTTTTCAAAATTAAAAGGCTGAATTTTGGTAAGAATTGAGAGGTGATTGCATAAGTAGGGAATTTCGGCTAGGTGAAAATCTCAGATTTTGGAAGTATTTCCAAAGAGCTCTGAGTTAATGGGGGAGTTAATTAGGAGCATTAATTGGCTCTTAATTAGGCAAAGGAAGGAGGAAGAGGGGACGACATATGAGAGAGGGAGGGAGAGGTTTTGATTTCAAATAAGTGGGCCCCAATTACTTAAGTGAATTAATCCTTAAATCTGAAATTAAATTTCAGATTTAAAGCTGCGATTAATTCCTTAATTAAAGGGAGGAAATTTAGGGGGCATTTAACTCCTAATGCAAATTTGAAATTTGAATTTGAAATTCAAATGGCATGCAATTAAATCCCTTAATGAAGCATTAAAGGAGGTGACTTAAAGCTCTTTGATTCGAATTTAGGAGTTATGAAAGTGAAGCAATAAATCAAATTTTGAATTTAATTTCAAAATTGATTTCAGGAAAAAAAAATTACAAAATTGCCCCTTGGGCTACAACACTCAAATAAATTAACCTAGGGGTAAAATAGGAAATAACATAAAATAGAAACTAAAATGCAGAAAATAATTCATAAATGACAACTTAAATCAGAGCCGTCGATTTACGACGCCTCCTGTGATAGATGCGCCAGATTTTCGTGCCGATGTCCGCATCATCATGATTGCCTCTAGTTTTCATAAATATCCTTTAAGCATAAACACAAATGGATTGATATCATGAATACTCTTTTTCACGTGCATATTACCTTTTTTTTATTGTCAAATGAATTCTTACCATGAATTACGGGGGTGAAAGAGAAGTTTCAGATTTAGCATATTATATATTTAATTTCTGTTTTGGTTATGGTCCTTTACATTTAGAATTTCGCAGATGATTTCATAGTTTACTAACATATCTATTTTACCTTTCCATTTAATGAGATTGCCCTGTTGTTACAGTCTTTTAGTTTGAAGGCATGATCTCGTTATTGTATATAAACAAGAGATGTCGATCAGTTTAAAAATTTATTAATAATTACATCTAATCTCACTTTCAAGATGGTTTGCATTCTTTGAAAGAGGCATCCAAGCTAAAAAAAAAAAAAAAACTTAACACTAGTTTCGTGAAATATGATTAATCTACAAGGTTATATGGGAAAAAAAAAAACCATTGATAGTACAGACCCTTTTTGAGGGTCATTTTGTCATCTTAAACACTTAGGCATACCAGGACATCTTTTTGGACCATTTTTCGAATCTTATTTCAAAAGTTTTGGAATTTATTTTCCTGTATGACAATTTTAGTGATACTGTCCTGTAGTTACAATTTCTTTAGTTAGAAGGCAAGTGAATCTCATTTCACTCTCAAGTTTGTTTGCCATCTTTGAAATGGGCATCCAAGTGATAAAGGTAATAAAAAATATGTAGAGATTGTCTGGGGATATGCAAAAAAATTTAGACACTCTAGTATGGTGAGATATGATTAATCTACAAGGTTAAATGTGAAAAACATAAATAATTGATAACAATAATAAAATTGACAATTTTCTAGCTAATTTAGATTTCAAATCAAGTGTTATAAAGCATGGACTCTTTTAGATGGTCGTTTTGTCATGTTAGATATTTGGATACTAATGGGAAATTTTGTCAATTCATCATTTTGTGAAATCTCATTTTATGGTTTCTATAAAGTGTTCCATACTTACTGGACATCTCTTAGAAGTTTTTTGGACACTTCTTATAACATTGTAAATATGTGTTTAGCATAGATTACACGTGCACCATGCCACTCTAATTATGAGAATTGTACTTGATCGGGCTTGAAATGAAATTATTTTGGACAATTAGAAGTATAATTTAGAAGTCTATTTGAATTATGTGTGCAGTGATTTTTTTTAAGTATACATATTTCAAATGTCTTTTCTATCATGTCTTTTTGTCTTATATTTTCAAGAATTAATGTGTTTTATGCATGTGTCCTCATGTTTATGGCTATGCATTATAAATCAATTGAGTTATAAATAAGGACCAACCTCAAATAATTGGTATGCAATTGAAATAGCTACATTTAGCTATTTTACGAAGCATTGGGGTACAAATGTTTAATATTTTCCTTAGAAGGTCATAGCCGTCAATATACCTAGTTAGTTTTGTCAATAGAATATTGTTGTAGAACTAATTCACTATTTACACCTTCCCTAATAGTTAAAAAACTCTAATCACCATGACCACAGAAAGGGGCTGATGCTATTATTGGCATGCCCCCATCAACACCTTCAAGTTTTGTAAATTGATTTCCGATTATCAGTGGCTTGCTCTCTTCATTCCCTTTTTTATCCATGTCCACTTTGTGAATCCTAACAATGCCTAGCTTAAAATTGATGAAATTTGGGCAATGATCGACATTAATGGAAGTTTCAATGACAATTCATTTCTTTTGAATAGTCCAAAGTAAAATAGCCATTGTGTATGGATATTGCATCCCAATAAGAGATCCATATAACATAGCCTCACATTCTTGTGTGCTCCAAAAATTTGGGTTGAACTCTGTTGAGATAGTTTGTTTCCATGTCAATTTTTTTATAAGAAGGATTATTACAAATAAGACACTACCTAGATGTTTTGCCCTCATTTTTTGTGAGGACTTTATGATCTAATTCTAAGTTTCTCAGAAGCACACAACCCTATAGTGAATTATCCTTCCTGATGATGAGTGAGAACTTCCCATTAAAGCTAGTTGATAAGCATGAAGTGCATAATGGATAGTAGTAGTAATTTTATTTTAAGATTAGAAAATTCATCACCTTTAGTATAAAACATATCGTGAGAGAAATGATGACGAAATTGATCAAGAACTTATGATTCGTCTCGGTTTGTCGTGGACATGATCTAATTTGTCAAAAGAGGTAGTTGAACCAACCTGATTAGAGGATCCTTGTTGCAGTCATGGGTTGTGTTATTTAGCGCGGAGTCTTATAAGCTCCGGGTGGATGATTGTATGAGGGGACAATTATAAGTCTATTTTAACTAATAGGATTTTTTTCCTTATCAAGTTGCTCTATAATTCAACACTTAGGGGATTTAGGATGATTGGGAACATCCAAGCTTTGGCCATGTTCATAATTTAGTTGCATCATTTTGCAATGAAATCTCCCGGTCATCGGGCCCTACTCATAACTGTAATCAAGCAATGTCATTTTGTAGTAAAATCATCCCATTAGAGAATACATGTCATGTATTTTTTTTAAGATCATAGTGAAATACTTGATATAATATTAGCTCTTTGTGAACTGAGGTGGTAAATTGTCGCAGAGGATGGATGGTTATTTTTTTAAGGTTTGATGTGATTGCTTTGCTTATATATATATACTTTGTATTATATTTTGAATATTTTATTTTTTATGAAAATTTTGGCCCTAGAATAAATTGCTTTAGGATTTGGGAAGACTTGAAAATAGAGTCCACTTCATTTTAGAGTTTAATCAACACGACCGTCATTGGATTGTTTGAATTATTGTATTTTTGCCATTTTGAACATTGTCCTCTTTACTTGCTTGCTTTTCTAAGATTATGCTTATGGGGTTCAAGCCTTGTTGAGTAACTCAACTCTAAATTTTGAAGAGAATTTATTGAGTTTTCAAAAATTGTTGCATGATTCTCTTAGTATTGGAAATTTAAGCTTTTTTTTTTGCTCAGTCATGTAGATTTTATGTTCGAGTTTTTAGTATATTTGTTGAAGAACATATGGATATCTTGACTTTGGGTAAATTGATGTATCTCTTGAACTTGCATGCCTTTTTTATGTATTTACACAGTGCATTTGTAAGCTTTTCGGGCATTTATATAGTGCACATGCACAAGCGCTTTTTGGTATATTTATAAAGTGCATTTATATGATTCATGATGTACATATATACCTTTTATGCATTTGCACGATATGTTTGCATGTTTTTTATTACACCTTGCTTTTTAACTTTTTAATGCATTGGTATGATGTATTTGCTTGTTGTTCAATATAGTTGCATGACTTTTAGTGCATTTGCATGCTTTTCAAAACACTCGCATAATACATTTGCACAATCATTAATGTTCTTGTGTGGTATGTTTGCATAATGCACTTACATAATGCATTTGCACATGTTTTGAAGCATTATACTTGAGTTTGGAAATTATTTTGTGGTGCATGCGCATGATTTGCAACTGCCCAAATTTAATTTCTTACATAAATATTTTGATGCTAAAATACATACAAGCATTTTCATTTGAGCTTTAAAATTCACATTCTATCCGGTTGCAAGTTAATGTTGCATATCCGGTTTCAAGTTTTTAATAATTTAGATTCTTCTTCCACATTTCAAGCAACCTTGTCTTGCTTGCATTTAGTTCTCATCTCTTGTTTAGACAGAACCCACAAGAGCATTCCTTTGCCTTTAAGTAGAAGCTCTCATTATGGTCATGTTTTAAGTTCAATAATAGTTTAAAATTTTGAGTGCATTGGAAGTCAATAGGTCTTGTTTGTGTCGTAGGAGAGTTATCAAGTTCCATTTTATCCAATTACGTGTTCAAATATGCGACGGATTTTTTTTTTGTTCTTATTTTATAAATTTGTATTCTCGTTTTCATTATTTTTTGTTATATTTGTATAAAAAAATAATTTTGTTCTATTCATTTTAAATGTGGTCACTGAAATTTTTAGTAGCCTTCTGGCTTCTCCTCTGCCTAAATGGCATTTATTTAGGCCTTCTCACCACACTTAAAAAAATCTTGCATGATGATTGATGTTTAGGACATTGTGGCTGAAAGTCATCAAACCCGCTATGCATAAAATAGGTGCGGCTTCAACACCTTTATGACAAATGCACATAGGAATTTCCTTGTCATGTTGGAACCACACATGCGGGTACTTATTTTATATTTTTTGTCACATTAGAACAACATGCATGAGTACTTAAATTTTAAAGGCTGTTTTTATTATTCCTTTGTGCGCAAGATGACTTTATTGATAACAAGGTGAGGGGATGAAATTATTAGAGCAAATACACACATTTTATCTCTTTTCTTCCCCCCTTCTCTCTCTCTCTCTCTATATATATATATATATATATATATAATTTTTACTCTTTTTTATCGATAAAGAGAGTGAGGGAGAAAGAATTAGAGATAGAGAGGAGGAAGAGAGCGAGAGAAGGTAGGGGGGGTAAGGGAGATGCCTGATGACTTTGACGTGGTTGCCGACGAATTTGATCGATGAGGTGTGATGGTTGGGTTGTTGGAGTTCATCAATGAATTGAGGAGTTTAAGGTCAAGAGATAGTCGAGGAAGGAAGAAAATGTGCAAGTCTGATTGATGACTAAAACAAGAAGGGAAAACATAGAGAGTAAGGAACAAGCAGGACAAGCTAAATGGGGTCGTGTTGGTGATGGGGAAATTGAAAAGGCAACGAGACCGATGATTTCAACTGCAACGTACAAGGGAGAAATGGGATTAGCACCGTGTAGTTTGATAGGGAAGAAGAATTCTGGTGGAAAGAGCTTAGTCGTAGTTGGGTGTTGCATGATTTAGAGTGGTGGTACAGTTCACCAATGAAAGATAGAGGGAAGGCAGTCAAATAATGTGATATGCTAAATATAATGTTATGTGCAAGATTTATTTATTTATTTTTTTTGCTTCAATGCACAAAGTTTAAAGCAAAGCAGATTTTTACTTTTTAGAACTATCATGATGTATATGTATAGAGATAGAGAGAGAGAGAGAGAGAGAGAGAGAGAGGGAGGGAGTGAGTGAGTGAGAGAGAGAGAGAGAGTAAAAGCTCAAAAAGTCCCCTGACTATTAGTAAATGTCCAATTTATTCTCAGACTTTCATAATGCCTCAATTTAGGCCCTCGACTTTTAAAAAATATTTGAATTTAGTCCCAAGGCCAAAAGTAACATTTAAAGTTAACCTAACAATTAAATATGAGGGTATTTTGAGTATTAGGGTGTATATGAGATTATATTGTTATTTTTATATATTTTATCATTTGTTATATTAAAATAAATATAAAAATCATTATTGAAAATAATTTTTAGACAATTTTCATATAAATATGCTTTTGTTTGCAGACAAATTTCAATAAATATATTAATGCATTCAATAACAGTAATTTCCAGCTATTCGAATAAAATAAGAAAGGAATCGAATATATAAAGAGTGAAGTGATGAAAGAAAATTTAAAAATAAAAACTAATTGTGTATTGAGAGACCAATTAGAAATCAAGAGATAGAGTTAGCATGAGCATGAAGTGAGAGAGTGTGAAGATGAAGCGTCGAGAAGTATGGATGATATATTGAGATGCATCCTAGAGAAGAAGCTTGTGTGCTAAAAGCTACTAGTGTAGGAACAAGAACTAGTGAAAAAACTTATATAATATGCACTAGAGCTTAAATCGAAGAATCATCAAGAGACTAGCTCCATATAGATAACCAATGAGCAACCATATAACAACTCCGAGAACCATTGAAGGGAAGTAAGCATTCATGCCCTAATTATCATAGTAGATGTTGAGATGAATCAAGAAATATAAACCAAGATTTTGTTTTGAGACGGAGCTAGCTAAGCACAATGCCACAATGTGATGCAACAAAGCAGTGCAATGCACGCACTTTGTTGTGATCTTGTGCTTTGCAAGAAAATGATGCACATAGCCAGCACATTATTTCACATAGTTCAACATTGGCTCTAAATCTATTTTAATTTAAATTTTTAGTAAGGCTAAATTACTTTTTTTGATCTTTTTTTACTGTCTTCATGCTTAATATATATAGTTGTTCATATATCCTCATTCTTACTCAATATATTTAAAAATATGAAATCAAGTTTGAATTACTTCCGCACTAGGTAACAAACACCCTCAAATGGTCAGGCATGTTTGATTAGCTGGTTTTATTTTTTGCAGATATTTTGAAAACACAACCTGAGGTGTTTTCACTTGTTTAGTTGTTTCCTATTATGAAAATAGGAAACAAATACGCATCCAAACATGTTTTTGTTTAAGTGAAAATAAGTGGAAGACATAACACAGCCAAGCAAGCCCAAGAGTTCAAATACTAAAATATAATAGCGCAATATTACCTGTGGAATTAAACAATCAGATTCCCTACTGGTCTTGATTGAGGCTTCGATTGGGTTGACTTTCTTATTGCTTCTTAAAATAGCTTACTAGTACAAAAGTTAAAATTTTTTGTACTTGAAAGCTGCTTTAAGAGCAGTAAAAAAGCCGTCTCAAACGAAACCTGAGTTGGATGCCCTGCTGATGAAGCACCGTTGTCAACCGTGCTTGTACTCTTCTTTTCTGCGCCTAGCAAACATGGAAGCTAGAGCTTATAAAATAACTATTCTTTATTGAGTTCATGACTTATTTTGTGAAACATCAAGTTTTGCAATGTATTTATTCACTTTGTTTCTCTTACTGTATACATTCCATGCAACTGAATTATTAGTAAATGCGTATTACTTTTGTGGTTCACGAAAGAAAAAAAAAAAAACTTGTGTGGATGGAAAAACTACGCAAACAAACCAATTCATTCTGACACCTAATTTCTTTCTTTAGGTGGCAAATCTGGAGACTTATGGAACTTTGGGTGCCATTGTGAAAAGTAGAACGGGCAACAAACAAGTTGGTTTTCTTACAAATCGGCATGTTGCAGTGGATCTGGACTACCCCAATCAGAAGATGTTCCATCCATTACCGCCCAATCTTGGGCCTGGTGTCTATCTTGGTGCTGTTGAGAGGGCAACATCTTTTATCACTGATGACCTCTGGTATGGCATTTATGCCGGAACAAACCCAGGTAACATAGTTCCAAATTATTTATGCTGTAGCTTTGATTCTCTAGTACTAGTACTGAAATTAACCATTTTTCTCAAACAAATTGTTCTTTTAAATGATAAATATACTAGTGAAACTATTACATACCTTAAAATTTCTTTATTTTTACATAATTAAAATATGGAACTTATCAAATTGTTTGCAAAACAATGACTGATGCAGCAGCTAACAGCACAGTTGCTAAGGTGGGCAGCAGTGCAAGTGCCTAGGTGGGGAGCATGACCTCCTTTATCACCTATAGGAGAAGAGTCTTGGGGGGTAACTCTTTGTGAAAGATATAAGGGGTATTTCTTATAGGATTTTAGGTTTTATGTTTGAATTTTATTTGCTGCAACAGTTTTTGTAGGAGTTTTTTTATTTCTAGTGGCTGCTAGGAATTGTGGGAGAGACAGTTCAGCTCTCGAACAGCGAATCAACTTGTTTATTGTCTTTCTTTGCTTGGAGATTAGTAATTGCAGCCTCCTTGGTGCTATTTCTGGATCTATCTGAAGTAAGTTTGCTGTTTTTAATATTATTGTGTGTTGTTTTTGTCATAAAATCCTATCAAATTGATATCAGAGCATGATTCGGGACCGATAGCGCCAAAAAAAGTTAATGCTTTGGGGTGGGGGGTGTTAGGGTTTATGTTTGAATTTTATTTGTTGCGGTAGTTTTTGTGGGAAGTTTTGGGTCTGCTAGGAATTGTAGAAGAGACGATTCCCCTCTCGAACAGTGAATCAAATTGTATCTTATATGTCTTTGCTTGGAGATTAGTAATTACAACTCCCTTTGTGCTATTTCTGGATCGATTTGAAGTAAGTTTTCTGTTTTTAATATTTTTGTGTGTTGTTTTGTATATAGCCGGTCTGAGGTAGAGCATGTGGAGCACTTAAGGGTCATGTTAGTAACATTGAAGGAGCATCAGTTGTATGCCAATTTGAAGAAGTGTTCTTTTGCACAATAGAGGGTGGAGTATTTGGGATATGTGGTGTCCAAATCAGGAGTAACTGACTAGCTGTAGGTCTTTCCAGGATATAGGCAATGTTATAATGGCCCTTACCCAAAACCCTAAAGGAGTTGAGGGGTTCTTGGGACTCACAGGGTACCACAGAAAGTTTCTGAGGGGATACAACTTTATAGCATGGCCATTAATCGAGCAATTGAAGAATGATTGTTTCAGATGGGAGGAGGCAGTCACCTAGCCTTTTGAGCTGCTGAAGAAAGCCATGACGACTATCCCTGTATTAGCACTACCTGATTTTAGTCAACCATTTGTAGTAGGGACTGATGCATGAGGCTATGGGTTGGGAGTAGTTCTCATGCAGACTCAGAGGTCCATAGCTTATTTCAACTAGGTGTTGACCACTAGGACAAGGTTGAAATCACTGTAGGAAAGGGAGCTGATGGCAATAGTGTTGGTAATACATAAGTGGCGACCTTACTTGTTGGGACGACACTTCATAGTAAAGATCGACCAAATGAGTTTGAAATTTTTGTTAGAGCAGAGGACGATGGCAGAGGAGTATCAACGGTGGCTTTTCAAGTTGTTAGGTTACGACTTCGAGATTCAATATAAGCCTGGGATGAAAAATAAAGCTGTAGATGCTCTCTCCAGGCGTAGTAAAGACCCTTAGGTTATTTGTTCCTATGGTGGTGGATTGGGAGGCCTTGAACCGTGAGAACGAGTAGGATGAAGAGCTGAATAAGATCAGGGGAGATTTATTGCCATACTGGTTACTCTTTGATGTGTCAGAAGCTGCTATATCAGGGACGGTTTGTGCTCTCGAGGACATCACCACACATCCCTCTCTTGTTGCAGGAGTTTCATGGCACAACTATTGAGGGACATTCAGGAGTCATAAGACATATCATAGACTGACAACGGAGCTATACTGGGTGGGCATGCGAAAGGATGTAGAGGTGGCAAATTGTGATGTGTGCCAAAGACACAAATACCTGTTTATGGCTCCAGGTGGTCTTCTATAGCCTTTGACATTACCCAAGAAAGTGTGGAAGTGGTGACTATAGACTTTATTGAGATACTACCTAGATTAGAAGGGTTTACTATGATCCTAGTGATAGTGGACAGTCAGGAGTGATAGCAAATCTGCTCATTTCATTTTCTTATGCCACCCATACACTGCGGTATTGGTGGCAGTCGCATTCATTAAAGAGATTGTTCGTTTACATGACATACTTGAAGCCATTGTGTACGATCGGGACAAGGTCTTTCTGAGCCACTTCTGAAGGGAGTTATTTAAGATGCAGGGGACTATCCTGAAGCAGAGTACATGATGAGGACATCAGAAGATCAACGACTGCGATCTAGAGTTTATTTTTTTATTTTTATTTTTATGTCTTATGTACTAGTTATTAATGTTTTTCCCATTTTACCCTTAGGAGTGATCAAGTAGTGTTGTTGCCCGAAAGACATTTTAGTCTTTGCTATTTTCTTTTCATGAGGCCTATTTATAGGCTAACTTTCTTGTATTGAGGATGATGATTAATATGAAATTTTCAACTTGTGTTTATGGATCTCTTTGTTAGTTCTAAGTTTTCTCTCTTGGGATGATCTCTTAGTGAGTTCGTGAGAGAAGAGGCTCAAGTGGGGCAAAAGCAATACCCGTCAATCTTGGTGGATTCCAAGGTTCGCGGTCCTATTATATTTCTTGTTCTTTTATTTTTCTGCTTGCATTGAATTCCCTCTCCCACCCATTCTTCCTCATACCCCGACCACCTCTTGCTCCCTTCCCCAAACCCGAAAACCCCACATCCCCCCACAGGCCCTCCTCAAGCCCTAGCCACCCGCAGGCCACCAAACCCCATAGCCGCTGGTCCCTCAGACCTTCTAGCCGCCGGCCTCTCCCAAGCCTCCATGAATTTTGAATTTCAAAATTCAAAACCCCATTCAATACTTACATTATTTGAATTTTCTCATTATGGAAAGTTTTTTAATCTAATTCTAATTTAAATTAAAATTAGATGAGATTTGATATTCTTATTCCTTAATTAGCTAATTCATTGAGGAAGCATTAATTACTCCCCATTCAGCCCTCAATCGAATACTGCTACTATTCAATTAGTTTCCTAATTTGGGTTGATCCAAAATCAGTGGGAATTTGAATTCAAATTCAATTTAGATTTGATGTCAAATCTTACCATAATTCCCTAACCCAATTAGGTAACTAATTACTCTTCATAAATCTGAGTTCAAAATCAGATTTATTCTCCTACATCAATTAAGAGCTTGGGCCCACATTTAATTAATACTAATCCCTTGATTTGCTCCCCTAATGGCCGGCTCTTTATTCCTCTCCAATCAACATTTATAGGCCTTCATTTTGGATCCAATTAATTATTTCTCTAATCACTTTTCCCTCCCACCATCCATTACATTCAAAATTCAAATTTAAACTTCCCCTACCCAATTGATTAGGGAAATCTAAAATCCTGCCCAAGGAAAATCCGTTCCTGCTGTCTTGGGCCTCCAAATGCTAGCTGCTGTTTAACAATTCCAGCAAGCTTCTTACTGTTGTCACGCCGTCCAGAAGGTTTCCAAACCTGCTGCCTCAAATTTCTGGACATTCAAACTTGCTGTCCTGAAATTCCTGCAAAGAAAAATCAACAGTTTCTCTGCTAAGAATCCTCCTGTTGCTGTCCAAAGTCTTCTTATGGCTGCTGCTCAGATTTTCTAAGTTATAAGGTTGCTGTCCATAAGAATTTCAGCGGTAGAAACAGCTGTTCTGCTGATCAGAAGTCCTTCAACTGCTGCCCAATTCTCCAAACAGAATCCAGGTTGCTGCCCAAAGAAAATTCAGCCAAAAGGGGCGACTGTCCTGACCGGGAAGATCTTCTGATTGTTGTTCCAAGTCCAAAACCCAGAATTCGGTGAACTCTTTCCCTTATTCTTTTTTTTCTAGTCACTTTCTAATGTGGAATTAATTGATTCACTGAGATCATGTTAGTTTTATCCGCTAAAGCCTAGTATTTTAAAAAGTGAGTGAGTGAGTGGGTGATGTAGAACGAAAGCACCGGCTTTGCTATGGAAGATGGATTTCCTCTCCGTAATCTGAAATTGTTCCAGCTCACAAAATCTGAAAATTTTTCTTCAGGTTTTTGTTCCAAAACCTGAGAAAATTCTTAGGTTCCAAGTAGAAGGAATGCTTCACGGGAGGAGTTTGGGAAATAGATTAGGAAGTAAGGCTTAGGCAAGATTTTGTTAGAAATGACGTACATGAAATTAATTCCTTAAGGAAATTCGAAATAATACCAAGCCAAAGCAATTAAGGAGGAAACGGAAGAATTGGCCAGATTTTGGAATTACTTCCAAATCAGGGGGCTGAGAATAAATGGACAGAATTGACGTTAGCTTAAGCTTTGAAATTTCGGCTGGCAAAGAGAGAGAATGCTTCTAAAGAGGCTTAGTAATAACTTAGGAAATAAATCCTAATAACCCTCACAGTGGGGCCGGTGGTTTTCAAAGCCAGCAAGGGAAATTAATGCTCTCAGATTTAAACTTAAAATGAGTTCAATTTTCCAATTCAGTGACTTGATTTGAGGAAATATAATTGGAAATAAAACTTCAGGGAACTTCGGCTAGAGCTAGGAATCTGACAGTATTTTAAATGTGGGAATAGGAAATAGGAAAGAAATTTCCAATTCCAAATTCAAGGGAGAAGAGGGATTTATGGGTGATTTCAAATTATTTCCTAACTAAAAGATGAGATTAGGAAATAATTCAAAAGGATTGATGGGATAGGGAAGGAGACCGGCGGCCTGCATGGGTGAAACTTGAGTTTGGTGCCATGTGTGCAAGCTTGCCTAAAATAGTTTTAGACTTAGGAAATTAATTAAGTAACTCTATTTGAATTTGAATTCAAATATTGTTAACTTAAGAAACTTACCTAAAATAGATTCGCTAATTTAGGACAGATTTTCAAAATTCAAAATGTTTCCTTAAATAGGATTTAGGAAATTTAGGAAGGTTTATTTGAATTTCAAATCAATTGAGTTTGAATTTCAAACTAGTTCCAAATTCGTTCAAGCCTAAATTAAGAAACTTCAATGGGATGATGAAGGGAGGTGGCCAGCGAGTTGTGAAGAGGTGGCCGGCGGGTTGTGAAAAGGTGGCCGGCGGGATTGTGAAGAGGTGGCCGGTGGCTTGGGTGGAGGATGGGGATGTCGACAAGGAGAAAATGAAAAGATAATAAAAATAATAGAACCACGAACCCGGCCGTCTCCAAGGTTGGTGGGTGATACGATTGCCCTTCTCCAAGGAACTCAAATCACTAGCCCGGACCCATCCTGCGGCTGTTGACAACTTCGATTCCTCTCATAGGAATCTCACTAACGCTCTCTCACAAGAAGAACACAAGTGTGGGAAACAATTTTTCATCTTAATCAACCATCCATTATAATAGCTTAAGGACCTTATTTATAGGCCATAACATGGGAAAATAGAAAATTACAAAAATGCCCCTTGGGCCATAACACTCAAATAAATTAACCTAGGGATAAAATAGAAAATAACATAAAATAGAAACTAAAATGCAGAAAATAATTCATAAATGACAACTTAAATTAGAGCCGTCGATTTACGACACCTCCTGTGATAGATGCGCCAGATCTTCGTGCCTATGTCCGCATCATTGGGTCTGCTTCATAGTGAATATTCTCATTGTTAGCTTAGGGATTATCGTTGAAAACCACTCATATATGCAATGTTAGATTAATTGGATGTTTTACGATCTTAACTTCTATGCATGTGATTTAGCCTAAGCTTGTTTTACCGCTCTTTGTGTTTTATTTTGTCGTTCACAAATCAATATAAAGATATTATTATTGTGGTTTCTAACATTAAGCATGCAAACTCCCTAAGTTAATCATCCTTGCATGATCGTTCTACATCAGTACAGCTTACCACCCCCCCGACGGATGACCAAACTGAGGTGGTGAATAACAGTGTGGAGACTTATCTTTGTTTCTTTGTATCATATACCACCAAAGATGTGGGCTAACTGATTAGCCTGGGCAAAATATTGGTATAACACTTCATATCATACAACAGCTCAAACAACGTCATTTAAAATCCTACATGGGAGGGATCCCCCTCATATAATACATTATGGGCATGGCAACACACCATTATCATCAGCGGATTTTGGAAAAATTGAAGGAACGTCTACAGAGAGCACAACAAATCATGAAAAAACAGGCAGACGGACACAAGAGAGACATGTACTTTGACGTAAGGGATAGGGTCTATCTGAAGATCCGACCGTGCAGACAAAAAACTTTGGCTCAGTGAAGGAATGAGAAGCTCTCCCCCCATCACTTTTGGTCCTATGAGGCTCTGTTTAAAATTGCACAATCAGAGGTGCGCCTCTGCGCAATGCAAGGCAAAAACGCCTTATTGCCTATGCAATTCTGGTTCCTCATGAGGCGTACGCCTCTTCCACTGTGAGGCGCGCCTCAAGGTGAAGAAGCTTATTTCACTTAAGTTTAAGTGAATGCCTCAAATTACTGGGACCCATTCACTTAAACTTAAGTGAAATAAGCTTCTTCTTCCCCTTTCATACAGCCTACCAGAACCAAGCAGGCAAAAAACCACACGTCCGCTCGGCCGCCCCTCCCGCACGTCCGCTCGACCTCCCTTCCCGCCGCCTCTCTCGCCGGCGCCGCCTCACTCCGGCGAACTTGAAGTACCCGACTACCCTCTAGGAGAAGTCCACAAATAATTTTAGGTATTTTTTTAGTTCAACAAAAGTTTTTTTTAGTTTGAAAGAAAATCTAGGGTTTTAATTTTTTTGAGATTTTTTATTTTATTTTGCATTTGTGCTTTAGAAAATATGGTTAGGGGCAAGGAAAAGTTTAATACATCATTGAGGCGTGATTCTTCTTGAAAGTACAGTGTACAAGTTGACGTAGGAGGCGGCGAGAAGATGTATGTTTATTTAAAATGCAATTTTTGTGATAAAGTGGTGAAGGGAGAAGTAACTCGCATGAAGGAACACTTATCTGGCTCACATAAGAATGTAGCACCTTGCACAAATATTTCAGATAACGTGAAGGAGGAAATTACAGCTTAAAAAGAGTACGACGGCCAAACATTTACAACATGAGCAATTTGATGAAAGGGTCAAACATGGTGCTTACTTTGGGAGCGAGAGTAGAAATGGCTCTTCCTCCACTATATATAATAGAGGTGCGCAGGGTCCTATGGACCAATATATGACTACTCCTGGAGAGGATAGAGGACAAGCACAGATGATTCGTTGGAAGAACCATTTAGTGATGAGACTTGATTGGATTATATATGCCCCTTCTTATTTGTACTTTGGGAGTTTTAATAGACTATAATTTTGTAGTTTTGTACTTTGAAACATGATTTTATTGCATCTCTTTTCTTAATTTCCACTAATTCCACTTGTCATTTAGATGTTTTTTATTGTATGATAGAATCTTGCTATTATTTACCTGCTGAAACCCTTAAATTCTCATTTATGCAATTCTGCGTCCGTGAGGCTTACGCCTCACATCGTCTCGAGGTTTACGCCTCGCCTCACGGACGAAAAACGCCTCGAGGCTTATTTACGCAATTTTAAACCTTGCTATGAGGTAGTGGAGCACATTTGCGCAGTGGCATATCGCCTACGGTTGTTATCGACCTCAGTCATCCATCTCGTATTTCATGTATCACAACTAAGACGAGCCAGTGGAAACCACACACCCTCGCCCACACTATCGGCCACACTGTCAAAGGATATGGAGGTGCTGATAGAATCACTGGAGGTGAAGGGGTTGCTCTAAGAAGACAAGGGGATAAGGGAGGTGCTGATTAAGTGGAAGGATTTACCAGAGTATGAGGCGGGATGGGAGCCTTACAATACCATCTAGAAGCAGTTTCCCTCTTTCCACCTTTGAGGACAATGTGACTTTTTTTGGAGTGGAATATTGATGCAGCAGCTAGCAGCATAGTTGCCAAGGTGGGCAGCAGCCCTTGTGGCCAAGCAGGGCTGATGACCTTCTTTATCACCTATAGGAGAAGAGGCTTTGGGGGGAGCTCTTTGGGAATGATGTAAGGGGCATTTATTAGAGGATTTTGGGTTGGGGGGGGGTTATGTTTGAATTTTATTTGCTGCAGCAGTTTTTTTTTTGTGAGTTCTTGGGTTCCTAGTGGCTGCTGGGAATTTTGGGAGAGATGATTCACCTCTTGAACAGTGAATCAACTTGTATCTTGGCTTTCTTTGCTTGGAGATTAGTAATTACAGCCCTCTTGATGCTATTTCTGGATCTATTTAAAGTAAGTTTGCCATTTTTAATATTTTTGTATGTTGTTTTGGTCATCAAATCCTATCAATGACTTGTTATGTTCTATTAGTTAGTATAACAAAAGTGAGCCCATTCTGGGTTTCCTACTTGATTATTGGATAATGATCTGATACCCAAACATATTTCTTACATTCTGGTGCACCTGCAGAAACATTTGTACGAGCTGATGGGGCATTTATACCATTTGCTGATGACTTTGACTTGTCCAATGTCACGACATCAGTTAATGGAGTAGGTGATATTGGAGATGTTAAAGTTATTGATTTGCAGTCTCCAATCAAAAGCCTCATTGGAAGACAGGTGGTGAAGGTTGGAAGGAGCTCTGGTTTGACGACAGGAACAGTCATGGCCTATGCTCTTGAGTATAATGATGAGAAGGGAATATGCTTCTTCACAGATTTTCTTGTTGTTGGAGAGAATCATGAGACTTTTGATCTTGAAGGAGATAGTGGTAGCCTTATTATTTTAACAGCGCAAGATGGCGAGAAGCCTCAACCAGTAGGTATCATTTGGGGTGGGACGGCGAACCGTGGGAGATTAAAGCTTAGGAGCGGTCATGGTCCAGAGAATTGGACTAGTGGTGTTGATCTAGGAAGGCTTCTTGATCTCTTAGAACTTGACCTGATCACAACTAATAAAGACCTGCAAGGTTTGTCCTACATTAGATATCTAATAAAAATATTTTGTACACTTTTTAATTGATTGATTTTTCCATTCTTGAAGAAGCTCTGCAGGAGCAAAGACTTGCATTAGTTGCAGCTGTGGATTCAACTGTTGGAGAATCATCTCTTACCATCGGCAACCTTCCAAATGATAAGGCTGATGACATTTATAAACCTCTTGATATTAATCTTGTTGATGGTGCTGCTGGCTCAGGAATTAACGACTGTTATAAACAATTAGAGTTCCAAGTAGATATAGTAGACACTGTGAAGAATGTGGAGGAGCACCAATTCATTACTAGCTTTGCAGGTGCTTCACCATTGCACAAGAACCAAGAAGATAATCCTGAACAGAAAACACTTTCTGCTCTTAGGAACTCATCTGAAGAAGATGTTTGTGTTTCCTTGCATTTGGGCGACCGGGAACCAAAAAGACAGCGATCTGAGCCAGCATTTTCAATCGATTCTCCCAAATGAATTACTGGAGCTTTTTTTTTTGTTGATGTTTTTTATTACGCGAGTAATCTTCAATCCACTGGCACCATTATTTGTCCTGTGAATGGAAATGCTGCGGCAAAGTTCCACAGCATTTTCATTTTCCAGCTTTCTAAGTTATCAGAGTTTAGTAATCCAAAATATTTTTCTGTTTCTTCCTACAGTTTTGCATGTTTCAGAAGAGGACTTGATCCAGAATTTTAAAATGGAAATTCTTAGAACTAAATCAGAAACTATTGCTATGAAGAACTCGATTTAGATATGTTGAAGAATTGCTTAAATGCTCAGCTTGTATTCAGCTAACTATTTTTTGTTGAATATAAAATATCTGCTAGCTTTGCTCAGTGAAATAGAAGTGCTTAGCTTATCTTACCCCCTCAGATGTCTAGATTTATGTTCCTCTGCAAAAATCTGCTTGTTCACAGTTGCTTGGAATTAACTTTTTATAGCAGATTGAATGAATCTGAATGAGCATTTGTATTTGATCTTTTGAACTATGTATTATCTTCTATTGTAAAATTTCAGAAATGCACCAGCTTTGTTTATTTAGAGAAAAAAAAGAGAGGTTTTTATGGACAAATGACAGTAAAATCTGCTGATACTTCTCTTTATTTTTTGAGAATTTTGAAATTTGATCCTATGATCCCAACAAAGAAGCACTCTCTGAGTTTATTGTCCTAGTATTTGAAAAACGGGGAGCATTCAAGCAAAAGGAGGTGGTGGAGTATGTTGAGCCTTCCATGGATCTTATTTGTCGCAGTACCTAAGGAGATGGAGATCAAGGATGCACAATGTTGAAGGTGCAGGAGTACATCAAACTCCAATTAGAAAGAGATTATTCTGTGCGGACAACAGATCATTCAGAGGCGAATTAGAATGTCCTACGTCACCCGATACATAGTGATATATAGCGAATGGGTAACGTGATGCATTCTGATTCACTTCCGAAACCTCACAATTGATCTGATCGCACTTCTTCGTATCATGGCCAAGATGCTTGTTGCTTCATTCAAATTTAGTTTTGAATATGTTGGAGTTTTGATTGATTTGAACAACTTTTAAAAGACTTAACGGTCCAAAGAGATTTATAAATTAAAAAGTAGTTTTTTTTCTCAGTGGTGGTATTTTAGTAAAAAAAATATTTTGGAGGACATGTGACTAAATAAAAATAGAATGTGCATGCTTGTCCTAATAAACATAATTTGAGAGATATAAAGGCAATTCTTCTATTAAAATTTGGTATTATTATTAAAATTTGTTATGAAAATTTTGCTTAGTTTTACCTCATATTCCATGATAGATCTTAATAGCATCATCAATTAAAAAAAAATCCTATTAATATTATTAGGATTTAAAAAAATTGTGACATCAAGCAAGAATTAATTGTTCTTATTTGTAAAATTATTTGAAATTATTATTATTGTTTTTAACTAAAAATCAAAATTTTTAGTTTGGGAAAATTTTTTGCATCCCCTCACTTAAAAGTTTGATTTTGTAAATGATTTATGAACTCAAAAATATTTGATCTTTATTAATATAATATGAAAAGAAAAAATTTCAAAAAAAAAAAAAAATATAGTAGAGGGAAGGAGGGAGAAAGAAGGTGGTTGAGTCAAATACATGAACAATAATAAGCTATTCTTCTATCTATCAATAGGATTATTTTTTTAATATACCTAATAATAATGTTAAAGTTTTATCATTATAAGGTATAATGTAATGTCTTGAGCTATTAATTTTATTAAAATTTAAAATTTATTTGCTAATCATTTATATTTTAATTGATTAAAAATTAAAATAAGCTCAATTTGACTAAGGATGACTCGATCAAAATTAGTTTAATTCAACTCAAATTTGGCTTTAGTCATATAAAAATGCATATTCATCTATGATCCTTAAATTATATATAAATATTTTTAGTATACAACATGTTATATATACTTAATGCATGCATGTACACTTGTGTTATATATATATATATATCAAAAAATTAAGCACATGTGTATAAATATTTTCATTTAAATAATTGATTTAAAATTTTAGAAAATAAATTTTGAAATTAAAACTTGACTTGGCTCAACTAAAAAATATATTATTTTTCCAAAAAAATGACAAAATAAATAACATTTTATACAAATAATTAACTCAATTAATATAAAAAAATGACAATATACATAGAACAAGACTTCTCAACTCAAAACTTTTCAACTCAATTGGATGGAATAAGAGGCAAAGAAAACAGATTTGAAAGAATTTTAACAGCATCAATTAAAAAAAAATGATCAAAATGATTATTTGACTCTTTATGAATGATCAAAATGATCCCAACTATATTAAAAAATCATTTTGATATGTTTAATCTTAAACGAGAATCAAAATAGTCTCATGATCCTCTTTAGAAGTTGAGAGATTAAAATGGTATTTTAATATAGTTCAGTACTATTTTGATTTTTCATGAAGAGTCAATAGACCACCTTGATCCTTTTCTCATTAAAAAAAAAAAAAAAAACAAATTGCTCCAATTAAAGCCAAATTTGTTGTACTCTTTGGTTTGAATAAAATCCTTAATAATCTAATGATATCTGTCAAAATATTTTCCTGTAAACAAGTTAGCCATGATATCTGTCTCTTCATTCTTTACCATGTGACCAGAGTTATAGCAAAACAAAGTATAGTTAGCCAAGGATTTCAATAAGCTTAATTATAGCACTAATTAACGTTAATCTCGATCTCTCTCTCTCTCTCTATCTATCTCTCTCTTTCTCGCTCTCTCTCTCCCTTTCATCCTTCTCATATGAGTAGTCACTGAAAATAAAAGAGTACTGGTTATTGAGCATACCTGTTGTAGATAATCTGCTTCTCTCTTCATGATATAATATGAATTAATACCAAGAAATTAAAATGTTTTGCTGGTGGTGAGTGATTGAAGCTGCAAGATGATCTGGTTGAGCCACAGCTTGGAGAGGAAGAGATAGAAAGAGAAATATAGAGAGAGACTCTGCTAATCTATCTCATAGAGAGAGAATTTTTTATCATCTAATAATCTAATTAAAACAGTAAACAATCTGGAAACTTTATAAACCTTAAGAACTAATGTAGAGATAATTGCTTCATACGTATTCGTGAAGGACATGGGACTGGCCTGGAAAGCCAGATCATGCTGGCAGCTTCAATCCTTCACACCAGCAAAGTGAAATGTTTTGAGCTGCAGAGATCAAGAACAGAAATAAGACTTGTTTTAGAGAAAGAAAATAGAAACTTCGGTGGAAAACGGTGGAAGTCTATGGCTTAAATGAAGGATAAGGCAGAGCTCTCTCTCTCTCTCTCGATTTATATATGTAAATATGATAATTTTAAACTTAATGCATATAGTTCCCTCAATATTCTATTGTTAGTAATAGTATATCAATTATTACAAAAAGTTGAAGTTAGTTATTATCACACTTCATTGAAGTTAGTCACACAATTTGTATTGATTTTTTGAGAAACCATTACCTTTTAGTACTTTCCTTCTAAAAAAAAAAATAACATTTAGCTACTTCTTTTTTTAATTGAATTTTAATTAATATTGTAATGAAAAGAATAATACTTCGGCTTCGTTTTGCATGACTTTCTTACTGTTTTTTAAAGCATCTTTTAATTAGTACAAAAATTTTATTTTTGAAGCAGTAAGAAAGTCATACCACACGAAACATTAGACTTCGTTAAAAATAACTTTGATCACTACTTTTTCGTTGCTTTCAAGAAAAAACTTGTACTAAAAAACTGTTGTGAAAAGCAGAAACAAATTATCTCAAACGAAATATTAATCATAATTTACAAATTCTTAACATAACAAAATACAAATTAAAAATATATATATATAGCCTTAAATTATTTCAATTATTTCTAGCTACTTAGCTAACCTAGCTAGGCTAATTGATGACCTCATGGATTTGAAGGAAATGTGAGGATTTGATCTAATCAAGAAGGGACAAGACAGGAGAGGAAATTATTATTGTTGTTGGAATTAATTTATGTCTAATAGTTTTAGAAGAAATTGTGGCCCTCCTTAATTAAGGTTGTTATTATGTCAATCTTGGATAGAGATGTGCATAAAATTGAAAATAATTAGTTAAATTAATATTTGTTGATGATCAAATTGGTTGGTGTAACAATAAGCTAGGGTGAGAAAGTGCTTGTGAGTGTGCCTAGAGGCCAAGGCATCAATCAATCATCAAGCATTTCATATGTGATTAGTTGAAAATGGATTAAATATTGAATAATATATGAAAAATTAATATATATTTATATATATAATATTTAATTGAACTTCTTGTGAGGTATGATATGTTTATAATTGTATGTAATCTTAAGTTTCGTTTGGGACGATTTTTTTACTGCTTTCTAAAATGACTTTTTAATACAAAAATTTTTAGGTCAACAAACTTTTGTACTAGAAATCTATTTTAGAAAACAGTAAGAAAGCCATCCCAAACGAAGTCATAAACTTCTGTTGGGACAACTTTCTTATTGCTTTTTAAAACAACTTTTTAATACAAAAATTTTTTTGAATTAAAATTTTTTTACGAAATTTTAGTACAAAAGTTCATAGGACCTACGAATTTGTACATTAATAATAGAATAAAAAATTAGTCGTTTCCTAATGAGAACGACGATATCAAGAGCAATATCAGACCAATGCTTGAATTGATTAATTGAGATTTTAAATAGCATTATGATGGCTCATTTGATTGCTTGTATATAACAAACATATCAACATCTATATCAGATCATTCATTTTTCAATCTCAAGTACCCCCATCTATAAATTAAAAGAAGAAGAAAAAAAAACCTAAGAACCATCTAGAAAGAAATTATACCATATGATGATATATTTCTTCTTCTTGCATGATTTTAAATTGAAATTTATTTGCGAGCAACATAATAATATTACTAGCAATAATAACTAACAGAAGAGAAAGGAGCGAAAGAGAATCTATAGAGAGAAGCTTTGAGATATTATATTCATTGCTAGGGTTTAAAGCTAAAGAAAATACTTATATTAAATGGCAAGGTCTAATAAAGATTTGCCATGCATCTTGGAAATATGAAATGTGGCCAAAAAAACCTTCTTGTCTAAATCTTTAATAATTTGAGTTTTGTTAAAGATTGAAAATTTGTGATGGAGAAATGATCGAAGAAGGGGTGGGAGATGACTGCATATGCTTAATTAGGGTAATGGTGTCAACATTTGATCGGATCAGGATCCAACTCAAAAAATTTAAAGTTCAGGTCAACCCGTTTCACAAATGAGTTAGGTTTGAGTGAATTTGCTGCACTTTGTAAATACCTCATCAAGAGGAAAAGTCGCCATCATAATAGTGGAAGGTT